CCCTCAGAATGTGACTGGTCAGGAGATAGGGCTTTTAAAGGAGCAATTAAAGTAAAATGAGGACATATGCATGGGCCCTAGTCCAATATGACTAGAGTTCTTGAAAGAAAAGGAGATTAAGACACAATGTTCACAGTGAAAAGACTGTATGAGGACGCAGTCAGAAGATGGCCACCTGTAAGCCCAGGAAGAGGCTTCAGAATGAAACCACCCTCCCAAAATCTTGATGTTGGACTTCTAGCCTCCAGAACTGTAAGAAAATTAATTTCTGCTGTTTAAACCACACAGTCTATGGTACTTTGTTATAGCAACCCTAACAAGCTAATACAGATGGGAGCTTGATTATACTGGGGAGAGTTGGGGATTTAGGAGACCTAATACTTTTGTATCCAGACTTTTTAATCAGTCCCTCTGGGTTCAGCCCTGCCACTCACTCCCACCTTCACTGATAAGTGGAAAGTTGGTTTCAATGCCCTTATGAGGTCTCCAGTCTAAACAGGTTTGATCATCAGAACCTACAGGCGCTCGGGTTCCTCTTTCTCAGGTTGGCAAGTCACTTCTTTTGGTCATTTTCCACTTTCCCAATTCTGTTGTCATCTTTAACCTTCTAATCTCCTCTCTTATCCTATTAGTGGGACTTAAGTAGAGATAAAGATAGTATTCAATGCTCACTGTTTTAATGGGACCATGCTTTCTATTGAAGAGTTACCAATGGTCAGTCCAAAAACCAACCAAAAAATTTGCTATCTGGTAGGAAATATGCAAACCTCAGCTGATTGTTAGCTGAGTTCCCCACTGTTAGTTCAAGAGCCTTCATGGAATCAGTAAGTGTCAATGCAAATACACATAATCATGTAACTATGAAAAATAGAAGCAGCCCCAAACTGCAAGGGAACTGTCATTTAATGCTCAGTTGGTTAAGTTATAAATCTCTATATTGATTTCAAAATAGAGCATCTGCATTTCATTCTTCCCAAGGTTTCTTCTTGGGGATCATGGCCAGTTGAAGGGCTTGTGTTTTTATAGTATAACACAACCTAGGAGATACCATCTGTCATTGGCTCTGCTAGACATTCAACAGCACATATGCTGTAGTGGCCCTGTGTGTGATGACATGCAGTGGGCAAATAAGCAGCAGGCAGACTCATTTAACTGGATTTGTAACCCTGAAAAACTCATTATTTCTACCTAGATGCTGTTGAAGTGGCATTCTTTTCCCTGTCTTACTATAAAATATTTGCAATAATAAAATGATAATTTAGTATCACATACTCAACTTTTTATTTTAGGAAAATGTACTTAGCCATCAAAAATAGATGCTAAAGACCACTACTAAAATGTTATAAAAATAAACAATACTATTCTTCCCTGGGAATTTAACAGAAACTTTCATCTCATCAATGAAATAATTTAGTTTAAAAACAGTACTCTTGTATAACTTTTTACATGAAAATTTACTTTGATTCTGCTACCTAAAATGACTATCAAACTGTAAATTGTGCTGAAATGCCTAAGTCTATGATGACTACTGTGACAGATTCCACACTAACTTTTTGATGCACTAACTGCTCTAATTAAGGACAATGGTCAGCCATTATATAAACAATCACTAGGTTGGGAATGGACTAATCCAGACAGGTAAAACCTACTACTTAGCCCATGGTTGTTAAAAGGTGTTCAAAAATTCCACATCTAGGGTAATTTAAGACAATGAGGTACTATTTCCTTATGTCAGGATAGTGTACTGGTGTGTTTCAAACTCTAACATGCATCACAAATACCTGAAGGGCTTGTTAGAAACAGACTGCTGCCCATGTTTCAAAAGGTCTGGGATGAGTTGGTGAATCTGTATTGCTCACAAGTTCCCAGGTGATCTGATGTTGATGGTCCAGCAAGGGACCACACTGTGGAACCAATGCTATACTTAGTGTTCATGGGTACAGACATTTGGAGGCAGAGTAGTATATTCTTATGATGGTTGTGGCAGTAACTTTTACATTAATTTACAACTTTTCTGCCAAAACAATCAAAACTATCAGGTAATGGATGTAATAGCATGGTTCACAATTTAAAATAGTCCATGAGAACCTTTTCCTTCACTAACCTAACTAATTAATACAGTAGTAGTTAGCCAATCAGGGAATACTAAGTAATCATAGTAAAGCTGTTAACTGTTGGAAAGGAAGAAAGGAATCTTGGCCATTACTGACCAATAACAAGAAAGGTTTGGCCATAAATGCTGGTTTTATTTGCACAAACAAATTTAGGACAGTTTGATAAAACTTTTGGATAATTTTGGAAATGGCTTCAAATTAAAGATGACAAATTGAATCACACTTGTATACCTTCACTGTCTCCTGAAAGGGAAAGTAAAGGACCATAAAGGATAAATCCACAGGAGCAAAAAAGATGAAGGAGGGGGTCAAAAGATGTATTTTAACACAATTATGCAAGATGGGGTGGATGGAAGGCTGGAAACTGGTTTACTAGAACAGTGGAAGTTATACTCTAATATTATCTAGAGGTCAGTACAGTAAGAACCCAATCACCCTATAAAGGCCCGGAAAATCCTGGTCTTGGAGATGCCCGAGATCATCAGAAGGTTGAGAGGCCCCAGGGTGCTTGAAGTGAAGAAGTGATAGGCAGGGCCCTGAGTGAATGCAGGCATTCGGAACTGTTAGACCCTCAGGGCCCCTGTTCTGTTGGAGAGGAAGGAGTGTCCCAGGATGACACCTGAGCAGCAGGTCTGGAGAGAAACTCATCTTCTTTAGAAAACGACAGTGGACTTTTGGAGGGCTTTTCCAGGGATGGGAAATAGAATTGACTGATTATTTGGGAAATAAATTTGATAGTCATTTAAAATTTATGTTGTAGAAAAAAATATGATGGATGCCTAACAAACTAAGTAAATAGATAAAAGGTTTTATAAGAAAAAACAAGCATAGTACACTAGTTGGCTTTGTTGTGACTGGTATTTGCACAGTCACTGACTACTCACTGCTCCTAAGCTTTGAAAGACCTATGTTGAAAGAATGGAGAAACTGGATGGTGCTTGAAAGAGCTAAATCCTTATCTAAGCAACATGTGGTCAATGGGCAATATTAAATTGGTAAATCAGAGATAGCAGTATAAATTATTTAGAAATAGAGAGGTATGTGACAGAGAGACAGCTAAAAATGGAATGTTGTTGCCTCTAGAAAGGAGAAGGTAGAGGACAGGTGGGTATTGTGTTATCTTAAAATATTATCTTTTTAAATAAGTGTGTGTGCTTATATTGTCTTTAAAAAGAGTACATTTTTGAAATTCATTTGCTGAGAATGAAACATAGAACAACCAAACCTTGTCCCATAATATAATTTTCAGGAAATATCTCATCAATAAAGATTAAAATAGAAATTTTATCATTATTGCCAATGCAATATTAACTTACAATAAAATATGATACACTTTCCCTGCCCTCCTTTACTTCCACAATTCACACACATAGACTAGAAACCTGTCAGATCTTCCACAAACACTTTTTGGGAGCAGTGGTAAGTGGTAAGAAATTGCAACTGTGCTAATTCCTGTTGTCCCCAACCAGGAGAAACAGAACCACAGAAAAGTCAGTTGTATCTTGAATTGTTTCTATAGCAACCATATTAAGCTGGAGAATAAAGCACCTTTGTAGTCACCGCTTCAATTGAATTACAATGTAAATGTTGATGCCTGCCTGGAAACGTCAGATGAAAACAGGTTTACAGAAGGGATTCAGTGGTTGTATGCAACCCTGGAATCCCAAGCTGCAGAGTTGAGATGGAAGAGGTGTGCCTGGGCCATCTTAGTGTCTGTGCAACCAAATTTCCTCACCCCATTAAAAGCACTCCATTCCCCATCTGTCCAGTTGCTGAAAGGATGCTCACTGTATATGAAAACCTGCAAGTTACCTGGTATCTTTTTCACACAGGGACATGAAAAGTGTTTGTTGTGGATAAGAATATTAAAAATGCAATTACACAAAAAACCTGGCGATCTTTGTGTTTGCCCCCTCCCTGAGCACAAAGTAAAGTTCAGCCCTGTACCCTTCTGAACTGTTTTAAATAGTCCTGTTAATGTGGAGTATTAAAAGCCTTGAGGTTGTGCTGTGCATTTGATTCCGGATGGCTTGGAATACTTGAGCTCAGCTCTTCTTGTCCGTTCGACCCACAATCCCCGGTGGCTGCAGGTGTTGCTCTTCTCCTGGTTCCTTCTCTCCCAAGCACCTCCAGCACCCGCCGACCTCTGGCAAGAAGGAAAACGTAGCGTAAAGTCCGCTCGAAGCACTGCCCCTCAGCTCCCACGGCGCCGACAGAGCTGCCAGCGTGCAGCCGCTCCACTGAGGTCAACTTCGGAGTGAGTTACCTGCACTTGGAGAAGGGCCTTACCTGAGCGCGCCTCTGCCAATGGCAGCTCACCTGAGGGAGCCCCGCAGCCAATCACGGCGCAGCTCGTCCCTCGGGCTTGTACCCTTTAGTGAAAGAATTCAGCTCCTTGCGAGAAAGTTACCTGTGGCCGCCCAAGTCCGCCACTTTCTGCTCTGTGGCTGCCCATTGCCACGATCCAGGAGGACTCCGCGCCGCCCGGCCGCCTCCGAGCTCGGGCCCCATGTGAGGGCCCCCCCTTATCCCACCTTTCCGGCTAGGTGAGGGCGCGAGCGGGCGAGCGAGCGAGAGTGGTGAGGGGGGACGGAAAAGCAGAATTACCTGTAGCTCTTGTTCTGCCATCTCGGGCGCTCTCACACACCTTCACCTGCACAGACTTGAAAGTCCAGTTTCACCAGAGGCTGAGGCTCCAGGAAAAGGGGAGCGAGTTCATTGGATCAAACATGTCACAAGAGTCGGACAAGTAAGTGGATCACACGCGCCGGCTGCTGCTACTACCACTTTGGGCTGATGGCAACTGGTTTGTTATGTTTTTTTTTTTAAGTTGCTATTGTTGGTATTTTTTTTTCTTTCCCTTTTTCTTTTTCTTTTTGGTGGTATCCAGACTTTTCCAGATTATGTTTTCTACCCTGGTTAAAGGGAGAAACCCTACAAGAATGTGAATGTTTAATACCCCCTTTGGGCCTTGATAGTAAAAGTAGGTTTTCCTCTTTCCTTCCTCCCTTAAGGATGATCTCAGCTCCCGTCTCCCAGAACGAATACTTGGATATTGACATTGGTTTTGGTAGATGGGGCGGGAGGCCTGTTATTCCCCCTCTCTTTTAGTTGCTCGCACCGCTTCAGGCTTCTAGGACCATTTGGAAATTCTGAGTTCCTTCTGTATGTCCAAAGGGCCTGCTAGAAAAACTTGTCTCTGCTGCTTTTGTGTGAGCGCAACAAAGAGCCTTTATGCTGAAGCAGAAACGGCCATCTTCCCACACTTGGGCAGGAGAGTGTGCGTGTGTGCGGCCCGCGTGTGCGCCTCCACGGGGGTGAGGCGCCAGGGCCGCGGGGGTCGCGGGGGTCGCCCGGCGCCGTCCCCCGGCCTCCGCGCCCCGACTCCCTCCTTCGCGTCCGCCGCGCATTGTTTGGCCACCTGTGCAGGTGCGGGAGGAAAGGGCCTTTCGGAAATGAGGCCAACTGATTTGAGGCCCGCTTGTGCGTCTCGGCAGGGCGCAGAGGGCGCAGGCAACTGTGCGATTCACCACGTCCGGGCGGCGTCTGCACCCCCCGCGGCTCCTGGCGGCCCGGCGGGCCCGGCGCTCCGCGGGGAGGCCGCCACCTCGGGGGTGGCTAGCGGCACTGCGCGGGGGACTCTCGGGAAAGCGGAGGGCCGGGGCGGCGGGGCCGGCTTCCCGTGCCTCGAAGGGAGCGCGGGGAAGCGCGTCCTTCCCGTATGGGACGAGAGCTCTAGACCCTCCAGGGATCGCCGCCCGGGTCCGGCCCGTCCAGGCGGCCTCCCCGCAGGCCTGGCCCCCGCCTCGGGGACGGCTTTGTGCTGGCTGGGGGGAGGGTGGGGCCGAGGGCGGGAGCGAGAGGGAGCCGGAGGTGGGTCCCGCGGCCTTTCCTGGGATTCGGCGGCCACACTCCCTTCCCCCTTCTCTTGTGCGCGTCCCGGGCTGGAAACTGGCTGCGTCCTATTGGAAGTGCGTAGGGGCCACCTTTTTGCTTTCCCTGCTATCTTCACCCTGTGGGGCCACCTCAAGGACCTTCCTGAGGGTGCCTCCACCCCGGCAAGGGCCGGGCTCCTGGAGGCCGCGGGCCGCCGAGCGCCTCTCCTGGAGAAGCAGCCCCAGACCAATCCCTAGGTGAGGGACCCTGAGGCGGTCAGCGGAAATGCCCAGCGGACCTGTCCAGGGGTGGAGGGGAAGGACCACCCTCTAGGTAAAGCCTCTGGATAGGGTAGGCGGTAGAGTAGGCGTATCTAACAACACAAGCTGTCATTATTAAAGCAAAGCAAAACAAAACAAAAACCTACCAGATATTAGTACCACATTACCCGCTAACGAAAACTTAACTCCTTGTTACACACCCGAGGGAAAGGATTAGTGTTAGAAACGCAGGGAGAAACTAGGAGTGGGGGCAGGGATAGGAAGGTGTATCCTCGTTTGAGGGTACCCCACTTCCACCCCAATTCTTTCTGTAACCTTTAAGAAATCGCTATTCGAGTTTGAAAACTTCAGTAGCCAAAAGCTGAGATGAGGGCAGAGTTTTTTGGTTTTGATCTTAATGTAAAAAATGGTTGCAAATCTAGTGAATGTCAGATAAAATTAATTCCTTAATTAAATCACAGAATTAACATTTGGTTTTACCGGTTAGTTTTGTGATACATGACTGAAATGGATTCAGAATGAAAAAACTAGTTTTTTTAAAAACCTGTTATACTTAACACCAACAGACAATTTATTTAGTGTTGAAAATAAATTTTAAGCACTAGCAATCTGGTTTCACCACCATGCAGGCCTAATTGTTACAGGTGGCGATTATTCGGGATTACGTATACTTACAGTTAAAGTAGCTTTTACCTCGTCCTGGTTTTTCAGACCCTTTCCTATCCTGGGAAGAGTGATGCTAACAATACCCACCAAAGACTGTTGGACTCCACTTGCCTCTCTCTGCGTGGACTAAAGATAAATGCTTTAAGTTAACAAATTATGTTTGGATCATTTTTGGGAATTTAAACTAAGTTTTCTTATTCTAATATTCTAATGAAAGACCAGCAGCTGTGAGTCCAGGTTTTATAGGCCTGAAGTTTATTCAATTGTGCATGTTAGGTGGGGTGGGTGTGTGGGCGCTAAGAAAAAGAGTAAGTGGGCCGGTTCCTGGAGCTTCCTGCTAGACAGAACAAGCAAGGGGTCCTGAAGCTTGAGCTTTATCAGCTTAATGGCAAATCTGCCTGTATTTTTCTATAAGTAACCTAAAAGAATAGACACATGATATTTTCCCATAAACCCATCAGAGTGTAGGTAATCTTTTGGATAGCATATGAAGATAATTCCTGTTAGCAAGTTTGGACTGAAGTAACATCTTTTTTACAGTGTGGACTTTTCAGATTGAAATGTCCTGCTTTTTATGTTCTTCAATGTTGATACTATAGCTAATTAAAATGAAGTATTTTTAGGACAGTTTGTCTTTGTACATATTTAAAGATTCTCTGTTCTCCCTTTCTATGTCTGTGAAGACTTATGATCTTTGTCAACAGGCACATGTATCCTAGCAAGGCAATGATAGATTTAGAAAATCTTATTTTACTGCCAAGTTATATAAAATGTATTTGGAGAGACTATATGGGTAATATATTATATATGTATGTAATTTTATTTGATACAGGTATTTTCATTACATAAATGTTTTCTGGTTACCATTTGTAACATATGCAGATAGGCATTATACAGAATAAAAAGATGTGTAAAATGAACCATGTCCTCAAAGAGCTTTAATGGAAGATGAGACATGAATGGACAGTTTTAATTAAGAAAATACCTGGTAAGTGTTTAAAAGTTAAAAAGAAAATACAATAGTATATTTTTTTGGGTCATGGTATATCAATCTCCCTTCTCCCTACTCACCTCACTTTTACTTTTGTCTAGGACAATTACTTTTAGTCATTCTGTGTGCTTTCTTTTAAGGTGTCTGGCCATTATTCTAGAAAGGAAACAGAAAATGCCCAGTTATAGGTATCTTATGTGGATAACCTTTCAAGTAATGGGATGAAACACTTTAACTATACTTTCTATTCTTTAGTTTTATAAATGCATAAGTTTTTTTTCCTTTGGCTACGTAAAGTATATTTTAAGATCACAAATACTAAGAATTAATCATATCTTTCTCAAGCCACCAAAAATATCCATTTATGTATTCAACAAATGTCTTGAGTGCCACTATATAGCAGGCATTGATCCTGGTCTTGAGATTTACTAGTGAACGGAACAAAGACCCTGCCCTTGTGGTGCTTACATGCTAGTAGGGGAACAGACAGTAAATCAGTCAACACATAATAAATTAGATAGTGAAAAACGCCATGAAGGAAAGCAAAGCAGGCTAAAGGGATTGAGAATATTGTGAAGCTATTTTATATAAGGTGGTTAGGGATCGCCTCTCTGATGAGATGACCTTTGAGCAAAGACCTGAAGGAAGTGAGGGATCAAGCACTGAAAATACCTGGGGTAAGAGTACAGGCAGACAGAAGAGCAAGTGCAAAGACCCTGAGGTGGGAAAGTGCTTAGCATGTTATAGGATCAATAAGGAGCCCCATGTGGGTGAATCAAAGAGATGGAGAGATAATGGTTCCATTAAGTAAACTAACATAATCAATTCTCTACTTAATAGCCTGGACATTGTATACTCAAAACCAAACAAAATTGTGCTTATAAGTGGTCCTAGCAGTCAAAAGTAAATAAAGAATCAGCTTATAACATCAGTCTTGTCTCTTTCTCAAGTATCATTAGTTTAATGGTTAGGGTCTAGTGTCCTTTTTCCTACAGTGGATTAAATCCTGCTTGCTCCTTAATTTAGAGATAAATAAATGCACACACCCTAGAAGCCTCTTGGAATTAGAACTGAAGAGGAGGGACCAAGTACAGATGGTGTTTACTCTGACATCCCATCTTCCTAAAACTCTTAATGTAACCTCTCCTCAGCAACTATCTCAACCCTTTAACAGTCTCCTGCAAAATAAAATTTGCCTTTCCTGCCTTCCCCTTGCCCTCATTCAATTTCTGCAGACTATGTACCTTTCAGGAAACAGACTTATCAACAGCATTTGGAAGTGACACACTGTAAGCAGTATGCTTAGGTTAGTTTTGTATCTAGTGAAATGACCTAAAATACAGGCAAAGTTAACCTACTTGATTTATTGCTGTAACTACTGTACAGTGCCTAATAGTAGAAATCACCATAGAAATTCTTTAAATCACTACTTCCTGAACTCATATGATGAGAAAAATTTCACCTGAGGCACTTGGTAAAACTACAGATTCCTGGACCCCCACCCAGAGCTGTGGAATCAGAGGGGCCAGGGCATCTGCATTTAAACAGATCCATTTTGTGATTGGGTTAGTTAGTGAAATAATGCTTTAAGTGCGTTTAAATTTAAATTCAGTTTATGTGCAACATCTCAGATGTATATACAGTGTATTAAGTAAAATGAAATCTATGGGCTTTATTTTGCATTTGTTATGCTACTTCTGAATGAATAGCTCCTGATATCATTTTAACCTGGGTTTAAGAATTCTTCAGCCTTCTTTCAATGTTGTTTGCTTTCACTATTTTGCTGAGCTGCCCCTTCTGGAAGAATGGGGTCATTTTTTTTTTTGGTATCATTAATCTATAATTACTTGAGGAACATTATGTTTACTAGACTCCCCCCATCATCAAGTTCCCCCTGCATATCCCATTACAGTCACTGTCCATCAGCATAGTAAGATGTTATAGAATCACTACTTGTCTCCTCTGTGTTGTACAGCTAATCATAATGCCCCCTTTCTTTTTTCTCCCCCCTTTACCCTTCGTCCCACCCATCCTCCCCAGTCCCTTTCCCTTTGGTAACTGTTAGTCCATTCTTGGGTTCTGTGAGTCTTTTGCTGTTTTGCTCCTTCAGTTTTTTTCTTTGTTCTTATACTCCACAGATGAGTGAAATCATTTGATACTTGTCTTTCTCCGCCTGGCTTATTTCACTGAGCATAATACCCTCTAGCTCCATCCATGTTGTTGCAAATGGTAGGATTTGTTTACTTCTTATGGCTGAATAATATTCCATTGTGTATATGTACCACATCTTCTTTATCCATTCATCTACTGATGGACACTTAGGTTGCTTCCATTTCTTGGCTATTGTGAATAGTGCTGTGATAAACATAGGGGTGCATCTGTCTTTTTCAAACTGGGCTGCTGCCTTCTTAGGGTAAATTCCTAGGAGTGGAATTCCTGGGTCAAATGGTATTTCTATTTTGAGTTATTTGAGGAACCTCCATACTGTTTTCCACAATTGTTTGAACTAACTTACATTCCCACCAGCAGTGTAGGAGGGTTCAGAATGGGGTCTTTTTGATGGGTCATATATTCCAGAGCTGCTGAAGACCTAATTTGGAGTGATGTCACCCATGTGGGATGAGGTCTGTAGCTAAGGGTCAAGCTCAAATTTTAGGCTGAATCCCACTCACTTGGGAACTGGATCAGAGTTGGAAGGTCAGCCATATCCTTCTACAATTTCACAGTAGAACTGAAAACTAGTGTTCATTTTTCTGAGGACAGTCATTTCATTGAATTTAGATCCTATTTTATAGCACAAAGTAGAGTTCTGATATGATGTTGGTCCCTGGTGAAATGATTTGATGTGATGATGGTTGTAGTTTCATTTCTAGGGCTAATGGTAGCTTTAAATATTATCCTGATAAAATGGTACTAGACCTGCTGTTAGCCTGTCATTAGGTCCTATTTTAAACTGACTGCTGGGATCAGGCCACCCAAATGGGCCCAGTGCCATATGATTTAAGGAAGATTAAAAGTAGGTGCTGGAGCAGTTGACAAAGATCTACAACTAGTAATTTCTACTAGACTCTGCAAAGTGAAAAGGAGAATTTAGACAAGTAGCCAGGTATGTCAAACATATGTAGAAGCATTTAAACAATAGCAATAATACCCTATAACTCAAGAGCTATTTGCTTGAAATCTATAGAAATTTAAATGAGATTATTATATTGATGTTAGGTTATTAAATCTGCTTTTTAAAAAGTCTCAGATAATTCAACCAAATGCTCCATTTCCTCTTTGTGACTTTGATATAACTAGGTATATACATTTCTTGTTTAAAAATGAACAATTTAGTTAAATAGTATTTTCCTTCTCTCTACTTCCTCCCTAGTCTGAACCAATATTTTTTCCTGCCTTCCTTCCTTCCTTGGTCAATCTCCTGATGGCACTTTCTTGATTTTTTTTCCTCCCCTATTACTTGATGGGAATCGACACATGTAGCCTCCATGTATAGAGGTGAGTGTGAATCTGATTTTAGTCAGTGAACTTTGCTGCATTCTCTTAGCATTTCCAGCGTCAGCAGCCCATCCTTGGTATCGTAGCCAAGAGTTTAGAAAATGGCAGCAAATGATGCTGTTGCCTCATCCAGTTCAAGTTAGCCAAGTATAACCTTCAAAAATGTTTAGGTTCCTCTTAGTATAAGGAAACCCTTATCCTAAATTAGTTGAGTCCTCACCCATGATCCCTAGCATTCACAATGGGGAGAAGACACTCTTCATTTTCAACAGGTATTCAAAGATTTCCTTCCTGTTCATTTATAAAAACTGGACTCAGCTGAAATTGGGTAGTGATTGGTTTGGCAAACTTGCCCAAGAAAAATTCCTTAGCGAGCAGTAACAGGTTGCATAGGAATTTTTGCTTGGTCCCAGGAAGACTAGTGGGTTGCTTAGTAACAAAAACATGTGCCTGAGAGTCCCTCAGACAGCTTCACAGGTCTTCAAATTTAGGTCCCCCAAATTCAGATTCACCCATCCCTCTACCTGCCCTGAGTGTGGCCATCCTTCAGAGAAGTCTGGCTCCTTGGTTCAGATCTATCTCTCTATCTGTCCTTCCATCCATTACTGGAAATTACATTTATGCTCTGAGTCT